ATCTTAGCTGCTTCATCTATTTATATTACCTGCCCAGCTCCTAAAGGAATTTTAAATTTGCATAATCTGTAATGTCCAGTCCAATTCTAGATATCAGAGCTATCATGGAATTTTCTACCTCTGAGAGGATGGAAGTGAAAGGGATTTGGCAATGAAATAAGTAAACTAAATGGATTGATGGAAATAGTTAACCCCAAACGTCCAAGGCTGAACTATTTCTCTTGCTCTACACAACTCTAGCATAAATCACACCCTTCCAAACTCCTTTTTCTTTTCTTCTTCACTCTATTTATGTTTTCAGTACCATCCAAACAAAAAAAGAAAAAAAAAAAAAAACCCTCACTGCCATCAAGTCGATTAAACTTATGGCGACCCTTCCTTGTGTTTCTGAGGCGGTATCTCTACAGAAGTAGACTGCCCAATCTTCATTCCAAGGAGTTGCTTGGGTTTGAACCATCAGCCTTCTGGTTAGCAGTCAAATGCCTTATGCACTACGCCACCAGAGTACTATAGGGTTTTTAAAAAATGTTTTCCCTGACCTCTATAAATGCTGCAGCAATGGGCTCAAGTATAGTAGGGATCGTGAGGCTGACAGAGGACTGGGCAGTGTTTCATTCTGTTGTACTTAAGGTCGCAATGAGTCAGAGATGACTCAATGGCACATAACAACAACTACTATGAACACAGACTACATTGAATGCAAAACTGTCCCCTTAGGATTCAGAAGCCTTGACTATCAACCCAGGACTTCAGGTTAACTTTCTTATTAGTTTTAGCCTTTCCGGAGGCTCTTGGCAAGGTGCTGGTTCTTTGGGTTCTGTGGTTGGTATAATGCTGCCATCTGGTGATTATTCTCATAAAATGCCCGAGGCATCTACATCCTCCCAGTTAGAAAAATTTTTCAAACTTACAGAATTAACAGGACAGTAGAGTACTCCTGGACCAGGCAGGATCCACCTACTTGGGAGGGTAAAATCTAACTCTGTCAAAAGTCTGTGTGCTCATAAAGGGAATAATAATTATTGATATTTAATAATGATATTAATATTGATTGTGTTCTAATAGATAATATCAATAATGATTCTCTGCAGCCAAAAATTAAGCATGTAATTATATTATCTTTATGTTTGCATAAAGTCTTTGTATATATATTACTAGATATTATCCTCATCACAGCTCCCCAAGATACTATTAACAAATTCATTCTTTCATCATGAAGAAAAAGCCTCAGAGAGGACAGGTGGCATACTCAAGGCAACAGAGCTATTAAGTGGGTATGGTAGCTAAGGTTATGTGTTACTTTGGCTGGGCCTGGTTTTGAGTGGCTGGACAGCTGGATGTAGTTATTGCCCATGGTGAGATTGGTGATGAACTCCATGGTACAATCTACTGGAACAACTGAGTCGCTGTTTTAGGAATATGGTCTGCCTCCAGTATGTAAGAAGTAACTTTGAGGAAGGTCTATAGCTTTTTGGCATATTTGAACCCCGTATTTTGTTGTTCAGCACCCTGCCATTCCCTGCCAATCTTGGGACTTTTTGTGGACTTGAATTAGTGGCCTGCTGTGCTGTTTGGTAATGTTGGGACTGTGCCTTTGTTCTTGTTGACCTTGGATTTCTCAGCCTATAAAGCCAGCAATGGCCTGAGTGAAGAAAAGTCTCCAGCTTCAGTGAGCTGGGAATGGCAGGCAGAGCTGAAACCCAAAATTGAGGTGCTTTCACCCAGCCCCTAGAGCCTGGCACTTCGAACTTGGACTTCTAGCCTCCAAAACTGTAAGAGAAAAAACTTCTGTTTATTAAAGCCATCCCATTTGTGGTATTTTCTGTTAACAGCAGCACAGAGGTAACCAAAAGAGTGGGGAAGTAGACATCTGTATCCAATAGATCTGGCTCCAAATAGATGGCCTGACTATGGGATCTCACTGGATCTCAGTACCACACATTGTGGAAAAGTTAGCCACCTTGAGTCATGGAATTGTCAGGGTGGGGTAACCAGCAATCAAAAGGGACATGACAAACTTATGTAGATAGTGGTGGTAGTAGAAGGGTGCCATTATTTTTTATCTAACTGGTTAGGGACAGGGCCCAGGCAGCAGTGGAGGGTTTAGTTCATAAGATGTAGCTAGGTGAAAAAAACTGATGAGAGCAAAGTGGGAAGTCAAGACCTCAATCTTGTAAATAAGAGTAAAGAAGAATTATAGTTCACTGTTGTTGTTGTTGTTGTTATGTGCCATCGAGTCGGCCCCGACTCATAGCGACCCCTCCTTGGGTTTCCGAGGCAGTATCACTACGGAAGTAGGATTGCCCAACCTTCCTTCCGAGGAGTGGCTGGTGGGTTTGAACCGCCAGCCATCTGGTTAGCAGCATATACATACCATTCAACTTCTGAATCTCAAAATAAATAAGCCTCTACACCTAAGAAAACTATGTACAATTCATCCTATCACTTCATCAAAGTGAGGATGCCAAGGAAGACTGAAGAAGAGTTGATGCTTTTGAGTTGTGGTGCTGGCGGAGAATGCTGGAAGTACCATGGACTGTTAAAAGAACTAACTGATCTGTCCTGGAGGAAGTGCAGCCAGAATGCTCCTTGGAAGCAAGAATGGCCAGACTTCGTCTCACCTATTTTGGTCATGTTGTAAGAAGGGACCATTCCCTGGAGAAGGATGTCATGCTTGGTAGGGTGGAGGGTCAACGAAAGAGGGGGAGGCCTTCAACGAGATGGATTGATACGGTGGCTGCGATGATGGGCTCAAGTATAGCAGGGATTGTGGGGCTGGCGCGGGATCGGGCAGTGTTTCGTTCTGCTGTGCATGGGGTCGCTATGAGTCGGAAACGACTCGACGGCACTTAACAACAACAACAACAACAACAGGCATATTAAGAAGGAGCTCTGGTGGCACAGTGCCTGAGGCAATTGACTGCTAACCAGAAGGTATTTGATTCAAACCCACCAGTGGCTTAGCAGAAGGAAGATGGGGTAATCTATTTTTGTAAAGATTCCCCACCTCGGAAACCAGATGGGGGTTGCTATTGTAGTTTGGAGCTCTGGTAGCATAGTGGCTAAAGCACTTGACTGCTAACCAGAAGGCTGGCGGTTCAAACCCACCAGCCACTCCTCGGAAGGAAGGTTGGGCAATCCTACTTCCGTAGTGATACTGCCTCGGAAACCCAAGGAGGGGTCACTATGAGTCGGGGCCGACTCGACGGCACATAACAACAACAACAACAACAATAGTTGATATAAGAGAGATTATTTATTTTGTAACTTTACTAGGATCTGAAGAGTTTTTATATTGGTTGAATTAATTATAACAAGAGTAGTGAAGTCACAGTCAGTGGCTTAAATATTACACCAATCACTTTTCTGTAATAATTATACAATGCATACAGCCTATTTCCTCTGAACAGTAAGCAAGTATTCTATTACCCAGGTCAAAAGGTCTGTAAAAATCACACATCTTAAAGGAAAATCTTGCAAGTATCTCTTTCTATACAAACAACTCAACTAATGTTGTTGTCATTATTGTTATGTGCCGTCGAGTCGGAACCAACTCATAGTGACCCCTCCTTGGGTTTCCGAGGCAGTATTACTACAGAAGTAGATTGCCCCATCTTCCTTCCAAGAAGGGGCTGGTGGGTTTGAACCGCCATCTTTCTGTTTAGCAGTCAAGTGCCTTAGGCACTATGCTACCAGAGCTCCTTACTCAACTAATAAGAGCACCTAATAAGAACATGAATTTGAAGTCACATAAAGACAGCCCAGCTGAAGTTAGTAGTAAGGGGTTCTTATCCAAAATTTATTAAAAGGAGAAACGATAGAAGACAGAATCAGAGTAATCCCTCACAGACAACCAGACACTATCGGAGAGAGATCCAATAGATCTACTGCCTCAGGACCATAGTACTGGGGGACACCAGACTCAATTGGCACAACAAAATACATAAAATCATTGCTCCATATCCTACATTGATGAGTAGCTATTGGGGTCTTAAAAACTTTCAAGAAGCCATCTAAGATGCAGCTAATGGTCTCCTAGCATCAGCAGTGAAGAAGGCAAAAAAAAAAAAAAAAAAGGCATTTAGAAGCAATCAGCCCTAGGACATGATGGCCCTCGAGACCAGAAGAACTAGATGGCGCCTGGCTACCAATGCCAACCTCTCAGGAAAGGATCAAAGCTGGAGATTCTGGATAGAGTGGAAGGGAAAATGTGGTACAAAAATCCAAAAACTTAATAATGACCAGAATTACTGGTCAGATGAAATCTGGTGAGACTCCCAATACCATGGCCCTGGAATACATTGTGTGCCTGGAATAAAACTCATCCCCAGGGGCAGGCTCTCAGCCCAATAGTTAACAAGATGTACATGTAGACCACTCAACCCAAGATGATGCACCCACATTCTCTATGGTAATACATCCCTTAGAGCAATAGAACATGGGACACCAGAGGACCAACGTTCAAACTGAGGAATTGCAGGAAAACAGGAGTGCATAAATATGAGGGGCACAGGGGGAGTTTTGCAGGGTAGGGAGGAGAGGAGACTGGGTTAGGGTTGGACATGGTGAATGGGGAATGAAACTAAATGTATGCATTACGTTGAATATAAAACAAGCTCTTAAAACAAAATAAAATAAAAAATTTAGAAAAAGGAAAAATGTGTAAACATATAAATGTTGGTCTTTTATCATTTTATTAGAATGGTGCGTAAGGCAAATGTGTGTCCTTCTGGAGTTTCTTCCAATTTGATTTTGAGAGATATTTCCTTTGTTTCTTGTTTTAGTCTTGTATCAAGAAACAGTGATGCAGTTTTACATGGACTTACTGAGAACTGAGGGAAAGAAATGCCTTTGAAATTTCCTCATTCATTCCTACTTCTGTGCAGTGGGCATTTGTTGCATATCTCAGGCATACCACACGCACAGTGGTTTGTTCCCAGTCCTGTTGGCAGTACGTTTTCACTTTATTAACCTCAAGGCCTCTTAATTTCTTTCTGCAGGTGGTGGGGTGAACAGAGCAAATAGCTATCAGTCTGACAGCAGTGGTTTCCTGGAGGAGCCACCAGAACAACTACCCCTCCAGGTAAAATGTGCTTGAAGGTGAAATAAAAACCCTTAGTGCTAATCCCAAACTCCCCACTACAGCCTTATCAGCCTCCCTGCCTCACTGACCTCACTTACTGCTGATCAGGAAGTAAACATAAGTTTGAAAGTGCTCCTTCACAATTGGGAAGGCTCATTTGTGCTTCTAATGCTTAGAAGGTAAACATTATGTGTACCCAAGAGGCAGGGGATGATGGTGTGACACTAGACAAAGTGTCATGTATATTTCCTTCATTTCTATTTTCTTTTGATTTGTCTAAGCAAGGAAACTGAGCCTTGTAGATGGGAGGTCTCAAGTAAAGTAGTAAACCATTGAAAAACTTAGATTTTTAACCCTTACCTCCTAACTCCTAAATCAATGGCAACTATAAGAAAACAAACAAAAATAATAACCACTTCTTAAACCTACTGTCTCCCCAAAGTTCCTGACAAATTTGCCTTTATTCTGTGTTGTCTTACAGATGCCTTCCTTGCCAAACAGCAGGAGCCTTAGGGATCAGAGTCACAGCTTAGCGTCATCCCAGGACTGTCAGCAAGGGTCAGATGAGTCTGATTCCAAGAGCATGGTGAGCACATCTTTTTCAAGCCAAGATTGGAGTGTCTTGGAAGAAAAGACCTCAGTATCTGTGGGGGAGAAAGAGACTCAGCTTGATACCATAGAGGGCCCACCAGAGATGCTGATCCCAAAGAAGGTCCTGGACAGGACCACTACTGGGGAAGAGTACTCAAGACAAGCTGCTCACCTGTGGAAGCTCCTGCCAATGTCCCATTCTGAATATGAAGTTGTTGGAGGTGCAGCCACTTCCAAGTATGATTGCCCTCTAGGGCTTACAGTGTCCCACATGAAAGAAGTGAAATACAGGATTTGGGAACAAGAGGAAATTGGGGAAGTGTATGTAGAAAGCCACCACTGTAAGTCCCCAAGTTCACGTGGAAATACACATGCTCAAGATGAGTTTCTCCACGTTGACTCTGAGGCTCCAAGGGGAGAAGAAAGCAGTAAATGCTGTTATGACATGAACAACACTGAAATAACACTCGAAAGTCCACTACAGCTTTTCCCCAAGCACAGTGACATCACATCCTATACAGACATCCTTGTTCAAACATGTGAAAAGTCTATTCCCCACCTAGGTAAACTGGCTGGAGATGCATCCCAAGCAAAGTCAAGGTGTAATTCTTTGGGCCAAATATCATCTATGGCAGAAACTGAGATGGGAGACATTTCTCCAAATGCTGACTCAAACACTGGCAGCTCCAGGTCTGTGACAATCCATATGTCCTCCAATCTGGTGTCAGCTGCTCAGAGTACTGTGGCCTTGGGGACAGATTCCAGTGAAACATCTTTGGAATGCACTGTGTGTGACCTTGTTACCACAACAGAACCAGGGCTGGGAACAGAAGTGAGACAATCCAGAGATGTTTCTGTTCAGACTTATATTTGTGAATCCAGGGTGTGGCCCTGTTATTTAGCCTTAAATAACAAGGCCTTGGCTACTGGACAGCAGCCCCTCACCAAATCTGTCTCTCTAGACACAGGCTTCCCTGGCACCTATTCAGTGGCCACCTGCCATGGCTCACCAGTTCACTGCTGCAGCTGCTGTCACCACCACCCCCAATGCCACACAGTGGGGCCAGGCCCTGGTCCTGCACCCACAACCTGTAGACACCTCCTGTGCTCAGAAAGCCATAATCCAGAAGCCGACTTCATGAAGGCTTTGAAAATCCTCCAGGACACTACAATGAGAGAGCTATGTTCCGTAAGTATTTACTTCTGCAAAGATGGAAAGGCAGATGCACCAGGAATAAGACCTCAGGGATAATGTTGGACCTTCCTTTCCAAATGTGAGATCCCAGAGTATATCTTTCTCTTTTAAATCATGAGTAATATTTATAGAATGTTTTATTGTTTATGATATAGTCTTTCAAATTTCTTCCAACGTAATGCTTCCAATTACCTTGTGAAATAAGAAAGGCATTTTTTTTTCAATCCTCATTTTACAACTGGGAAAACTAGGATATAGAATAATAAAATCATATTAATAATGTATCTGCACCTCATCTTCAGTCTATCTAACTGAAAGTTTTCTGTCTTAAATTTCACTTAGCTATACATTTTTCACAAGCCATTGTGCCTCCCTGGGCCTAATTCTTGTTGTGTAAAATAAGGAAACTATTCATCCTAACACTGGATTGTTTTAGGATGAAATGAGGTAAAGCTTGTAAAACACTCAGACAGTGTCTGGCACATAGAAAGCTCTAGATAATGTTACTTGTATGGGGATTATTCTTATTATCATTTTTATTAGCATATTTATTACTGTTCAGGTCTTGAATCTAAAGCTTCTCATGTCATGTAGAGGGACTTTTGGTCTACTGCTGCCAAGCTTGTTTAAAAGGAAGGTGGACACAGAATTTACTGAGAATCAAAGGATGCCACCCCTTGTCAGCCCTTGATTAATCAATAAGCATTACTAAGGCTTTTCAGCCTCCACTCACCATGTTGTTGTTGTTAGGTGCCGTCAAGTTACCCCAACTCACAGCAACCTTATGTACAGCAGAATGAAACACTGTCTGATCCTGTGCCAGCCTCATGGTCCCTACTATACCTAAGCCCGTCGCTGCAGCCACTGTATCAATCCATCTTGTTGAGGGCCTTCCCCTTTTTCATTGATCCTCCACTTTACCAAGCATGACATCCTTCTCCAGAGAATGGTCCCTTCTAACAACATGACCAAAGTAGATGAGACAAAGTCTGGCCATTCTTGCTTCCAAGGAGTTCCATTCACCATAGTGATTCTCAAAATGAGAAATGATCTAGGTCTTCAAGGCTAGCCATTGATGAAAAAATTAAGATCATCTCATGTTAGACTACATGTATAGAGAATATCTGTGGCATTTTCTGTGGCACAAGTAATGTAGGACTACAGGAGAGTGGAGGGGAACCACGATTCACTGAGAACCTACTATCTGCTGCCTGCTGGTTTACTCTTCTATTCTTAAAATCCCACAAATATTTATTTAGTGCCTATCTAACCACTTTATTAACATTATTATCTTTTTCATCTTCGCTTCCATCTAGAACATAAATATTTATTGAGTCACTATTGTGTTTCCGGTTCTCTTTCTTTTACAAATGAAGAAACTAGAATGAATTTAAATAATTTTCCCAATGCCCTTCAAGAATTAAGTAGTAGGTCCAGATTCAAATTCAAATTTGGCTGACACAAATTCTTGGGCAATGCGCTCCAGGCAACAATACATCCACCTTGAAAATATCTAAATGTATGTTGTTGTTGTTGTAATGTGCCATCAAGCCGGACCCAACTCATAGCGACCCCTCCTTGGGTTTCCGAGGCGGTATCACTATGGAAGTAGATTGCCCCATCTTCCTTCCAAGGAGTGGCTGATAGGTTTGAACTACCAGCCTTCTGATTAGCAGTCAAGTGCCTTAGGCACTATGCTACCAGATCTAAATGTATATAAATGTAATACTAACATTAGAAAGAGACAATTAGAAAGATAAAGTAAGTTTCTACATGGGTCTTTCAATATATAGAAACCTATATAAATGCAATGAAGGATGTTGTTTAGAATAGGGACCAAAGATAAAACCTGGGCCAGTTCCATTTGTCCTGTCCAATATCAAGAGAATGCTTTATGTCCTTTTTACAACAATATAATGTTTCTGGAGAAAGCTCTTCATGTGCCCACATAATTAATTTTACAAAAGACTCTTTTTATTCATATTAACAAAGCATAATTTCCTAGGGCATCTGACAAAACAAATGAAAACATTGATACATAGAGCATTTCTTTATAATAATATTTACTACACCTACAATATAAAATCACATTTTCCATAGAAAATATATGTATTTCTTTACATACTTGCTCTAACACTTAGGAACTCTGGCTAGGCTTTCTATTGGGTTTAAGGGGGAAAAAAAGTATGAATCAAACTTAAAAAATAAGTCAATTAGCAAACAGGTTAATTTTTCAATTGAAAAATAAATATTTCCAGAAAAAATGAAATGTTCAGAAATAAGATTTTTGTTGTTAGAAAAATTTTTCTATAGTATTTATTATTTAGGTTTAAAAGAGTAAAATACATGTAAATTTTTAAAAGTAATATAGTTCAATTTAAAACTGAAAATTAATTTTTTTTTTTGGTGAAGTTGTACTTAATGTGTGAGTTAAAGCTTATTTTAATGGACTTGGGTCAATAGAGAAGAACTTCCATTGTATCTGAGTTTTAACTCAGCTATTATATTGGAAGAAAGAGTTCAAAACATTTTTATTTTATTCTAGCCTATGATTTCCTTCATTCTGAACAGACTTATATCTAGGGCTAAAACATATATATATATTTTTTTTTTTTTTTGGTATTTCCAAATGACCAGAAGATGGCAGCCTTTTAGAATCTTCTGCAACACTCTCTTTGGCAGAGCACACCAATTAACCTCCAACTCAGACCCTCCTCTAATATCTTTCATCCACCAAAGGTTACTCCAAAATAAGTAGACTAAGCATAAAATTCAATGTTCAGGATGTTTAACCTATCTCAGCATCATATTTTTGTGGCCCCTGGCCTCACTGACTCTAGAACTTTGAAGTGAGTGTGAGGCAGTTGGTCAGTTTTGCTTACCTTGTAGGAATCTATTAGAACAACTCAATCAGCTCACTCCTAGGGGACAGATAACTTCTCCATGTGTCCACCTACACTGTACTCCCTGCTGTGACTCAGATCTAGAGAGAAAAAAACAACAGTAAACAATGAACCAGGAGACTTAGGTTTGAAATCTGACTGCCAGTTTTTTTACTATGGACAATTAATTAACCATTCCATGCCCCCCCCCCCCAAAAAAAAAACTTATCTATAAAATAAGCCTTTCATGATCTTCAAGATCTTTTCTAGTTTTAGGAGCTCATAATTCTAGTTGCCTTAGGAGCACTCATGTCAACAATAGTAACGCTTCAAATTCTAACTGGTTCAAATCCATTCACCTTGATATAAAATAGCATTTTACTTTGAAAATTACGTTATTAATACAAAAATTAGAGGACTGGATTAAAATCAAACTCTCTGAGAAAAATAATGGAGAGTTTTCAATGTAAAAATATTAAGAAAATATTTCAAAAGATTATGAAAATTCAAGTGAAAATAGCCATCAGGCTGCTGGGATCTTGGTCATGCAGTCTGAGGAAAAGGGTAAGAAATCAGACTGCCTAGAAATAGGGTTATAAGGTTGGACTCCATGGAAGGAGGAAGAAGAAAAGGTTAAAAAGGACTGTTAGCTAAATCAGTTTTCTCTAAAGAGCTTCTGAAAAGCCCACTTCATATTTTCTGCTTACATCTCACTGGCTGTCCTAAATGTAAAGGAAGCTGGGAAATGTCATTTTCTTAGCTAGACACATTGTTGTCCTTAAGGTATTAGATTCTGTTAATAAGGATAGTTAAAGATAGTGATTAGGCAACTGACTCCAAGCCCACAGGCCCAGTAGACACAGGTCCAACAAGCTTTCATAGTACTCAAAGTCAGAATGGGTAGTGGCACTGTGGTTCTGGGTCGTAGATGAATTCAAAGACTGTTCCAACCTGGGCTGTAAAACAAGGACACATGGTAAGAAGTCAGCACGTCATCAGAGTGCCCAGAAAATGGACTGGATTTGGGAGCAACAAGGAGGTAACATTTAAATAAAGTAAAAAACCCACAGCCATTGAGTAGATTCTAACTTAGAATAATCCTATAGGACAGAGTAGAACTGCCCCATAGGGTGTCCAAGGCAGAAGCAGACTGCCACATCTTTCTTTGGAGGAGTAGCTGGTAGGTTTGAACCGCTGACCTTTTGATTAGCAGCCAAGCCTCTAACCACCGTACCACTAGGGCTCCTTAAATGGGGAAATTAAGGCAAAAGTACAATCATTCAGACAGAGTGAGATTTAGAGGATGATTCACATCAAGAACAATGGAAAGTGGAATTTGGAGGTGGGGAGATAGAACTAATTCTAGATTCTAACTCCTGGAAAAGATGGGGTGCCCATTCTATGCTTGCCCTAGTCTGAGTCTGGATGGGTGCCTTAGCCAGGTGGAGCTGATCCTGCAGGTTCCAACCACCAGGGACTGTGGTTAAGCAGGGCTAAAACTAATGAAAAAATACTCTAAGTAGATTTTCTTTAATCAAACACATACCATCTGAACAGATGTGTTCAATGTTGTTGATACTCAGAATGTGGCAGTAGGTAGCACCAAGGTTAAAAAAGATTAAACAAGATTCAATTTTTCTAAGCACAAGCCCTCACTCTGGCCCTCCCTCCTCTGGCTTCATCCTCACATCCCTGCATCATATAGTCCTCCAGACTGTCTGTCCATCTCAGGTGGGACATAATGATTTTCACTCAAAGGGCCACCCAACAACAGCTCCCATCCTGTCCTAGACATATACTGCTTCTAGTTATTCCAGGAAGCCAGAGGCTGGGCACTTGCTAATCTCTTCTCCATAGTTTCTTTGCAGAATGGCTTCTATCTTAGTTACCTAATACTGCTATATCACAAATACCACAAGTGGGTGACTGTAAAGAACAGAAATTAATATTCTGAAACTAGGAGTCCTAACTCTGGCCAGCGGCTCTAGGGGAAGATCCTTGTCTCTTTCAGCTTCCGTAGCCCAAGTATTCTTTGATTCCTTGGTGATCCCCACCATCTGACATCTGTCTTCCTCATTTGTGCTTGCTTCTGTGTCTAAGCTGCTCTTTTAATAACTCATAAGTGATTAGGTTTAGGGCATACCCTATACTGATATGACCTCTTTAACTTAACAAAGAAAACCCCATTCCCAAATAGAATTACATCCATACTTACAAAGAGTTAGGATTCCAACACATATTTTGGGAGGACATGATTCAACCCGTAACATTCTTTGCAAACCACCCCACCCCAAAAAAATAAAAAATACCCTGCCATGGGTTGCTTCCAGGCTGTAAATCTTTACAGAAGTAGATTCTTCACCTTCCTCCTTCAGAGCAGCTGGTAGGTTTGAACTGTGCACCTCTGGTTAGCAGCCAAATGTCTTACCCCATTATACCGCCAGAATCCCTTTCTTTGCATACAGCTGAGCCCAATAGGAGAGGCATGCTCCACTGTGGAGAGCTTTTATAGTGAATTGGAAAGGACTTATTTCCAGGAAAGTTACTCTCAGTTCTTTGTGATTGCTCTCAGTGCACAGTCCATGAGATGGAAACCATGAAGACAGTATGCCAGAGTTTCCGGGAGCATTTAGAGGAAATTGAACAGCACCTTATGGGGCAGCAGGCACTCTTTTCCAGGCACATGGCAGAGGAGGAAAGGTAATTATCTAAGGGAGCCATAAAAGTAAGTACCAGCCCACACACCTGGAGCAAGAAAAGGTAATCAGGTCAGGACAAATGCACATCAGGAAGCAGGGCTAATGAGAAATCTGCCAGGCTTTCCTTTGCTTTCACACTCATTCTTGCTTTCTCAGTGGGAGCCTGTGCTAGCTTCACTAGAGAGCAACACTAACTCTTTAAGGCCAGTGATATTTGAAAGGGTCAGAAAAGGGGCAGTCAGCTGGGAGGAGAGGAATTAACAGCAAGGCAGCTTTAATCAATGTGGATGGGGCTCATACAAATGCAAATGTTGGAGATTATTATAATTTTGAAAATTGACATTATTTTCAAATAGATTAAAATTATCTGCCCCAGAGGTAGATCAGTGGTTGCCTGGGGCATAGGGGTGGGGTGGGAATAGGGATTAACTGTAAAGGGCACAAAGGATCTTATTGGGGGAATAGAAATTTTCTAAATTAGATGATGGTGATGGTTGTACAACTTGGTAAATTTATTAAAAAATCATTGAATTGTACTTTTAAAACAGGTGGATTCTATGGTATGTAAATTATATTACAATTGAGTTGTTTAAAAAATACATAAATATCCTGCCCTAGTGTTCTGGTTACCTAGTATCACTCTGACAAGAATATACCACCAATAGGATGTTTATTCTTACAATTTGGAGGCTTTAAGTCCAAGTTCAAAGTGCCAGGCTCTGGGGCTGGGTGAAAGCCTCTCAGCCTTGGGCTTCAGCTCTGCCTCCTGCTCCAGGCCCACTGAAGCTAGAGGCTTTTCTTCACTCAGTTGCTGGCTGATGAGGCTGACAGGACCAAAGTTGACAAGTAACAAGACACAGTCCCAGTGTTACCAAACCACATGGCAGGCCATTAATTCAAGTCCATTGAAAGCCCCAAGGTCGGCAGAGCACGGCAGGCTGCTGAACAACATAGCTACATGCAGGGTTCAAGCGTGCCATAAGCTAGAGACCATTCCCAAAGCTGTTTCTTATATATGGGAAGCAGACCACATACCCAAAGGCAGCTACTCAGCTGCTCACAGTAGATTCCACCATGGTGTTGATTACCAGTCTCATCATGGGGAATACTACATCCAGCTGCCCAGCCATTCAACCAGGCCCAGTCAAGTTGGCACATAAACTTAACTACCACACCTAGAAATATACTTATGCCAACAACTGATGTAAATAAATGTGACTTTTTTTTTTTTTTTTTTTAATTTTCAACGAGTGACCTATATGACAAGAGGGGCCATGGAAGACTGCACATCTGGGTGATTGTTACTTGTGGTTGCTTTCTATTATTCACCCACAGGGAGGAGGCCAGACAACTGCAGACACTACGGGAAGCCCTGCGGCAGCAGGTGGAGGAGCTGGAGTTTCAGTTGGGTGACCGTGCTAGGCAAATCCGAGAGGGGATTCTGTTGGTACGAGGCAGTGGGATGTGGAGTTTGACCGTATTCTGCCCACCATAGGAAGGTCACATTAAGTGAGAAAACTAAGAGTGCAATCATTTTAGATGCTAGGATTGTGTACTAATTCTTAATGTATTAGATCCAAAAGAAACTTAGACAATGTTGTCCAGCAACCCTCATGTAAATACAAAGAAATTGATGCCTAGAAAAGTAAATTGGTTTGCTCAGGGCCAAACAGTTATCCAATGGTGTTCTAGGTATAGAGCTCAGGACACTTAACTGCCATGCAAATCCTTCCCTGCCCTGTAAATAAGAGACATGTAGTCAGTGCTGGAATTCTCAACCTTCCATGTGGGAAACCATGGTTCAATTCCCAGCCAATGCACCTCAAGTGTAGTCACCAAGCATCTGTCAGTGGAAGACATGTTGCTATGATGCTGAATAGGTTTCAGCAGAATTTACAGAGTATGACAGACTAGAAGGAACACAGTGGTCTGATCCACAACCAATCATGAGGATGGTACAACATGAGCAGTGTTTTGTTCCAATGTGCGTAGGGTAGCCATGAGTCAGGGAGTAAGTCAACAGCAGCTAACAAGAAACACAGGCATGGTGAGGCTGATATCAGTTAATATTAGCTCAGTCTCTACCAGAATCTGCTGCTAGCTTGCAGAGCCCTCTCCAGGGAATTTACCACCTCAAGCATGCCCTTCCTGCAAGTCTGCATTAGCTGTTTGATGCAAATATGATATAAAATGTTGTGTTGAATGTTTGGTGTAAATGTGTGCTGTCCACTTTTTGTTGTTGTTGTTCTTTTCCTTTTAGCAGCTTGAGCTGCTCACAGGAGAACCGTCTGAACTCTATACAACTCTACATCAATATAACTGGACAGGAGAGATAAAGCGTCAGATGTCAATCCACCCAGCCATGGCACCCAGGACTGCCTTTCCTACCAATGATGGGCAGCTGGCTCCCAGCTCAGGTGTGGGCCATGTTGCTGCCTTCACTCCACCTGCCCTAGAGAGAAGGACCAGATCATCTCCATCACCAGCACTGGCAGAGTCGGGTCTGACCTTGTTGTCAAATTGTTCTGTTGATGAGAAGAATACTACAGTCTTCCTCTAATCATAGCATATTTGATGACCTTCCTGCTGAATGTAAGAGCATATCCCAGTCATAGCAAGGAAATCTAAATATGGCCCAATATTGTTGTTGCTTTTAGATGATCTCCAGTCAGTTCCAACTCGTAGTGACCCTATGCACAACAGAACGAAATACTGCCCACTCCCGTACAATCTTTGTTATGCTTGAGCTTATCATTGCAGCCACTATGTCAGTCCATCTCATGGAAGATCTTCCTCATTTTCGCTGACCCTCTACTTAACCAAGCATGATATCCCTCTCCAGGGACTGGTTCCTTCTGACAACATCACCAAAGCACATGAGACAAAGTCTAGCCATTCTCACTTCTAAGGAGCAGTCCAGCTGCACTTCTTCCAAGGCAGATTTGTTCATTTTTCTGGCAGTCCATGGTATTTTGAATATTCTTCACCAATTCCATAGGTCAAATGCATCAATTCTTTTTCAGTCTTCCCTATTAATTGCCCAACTTTCCCATGCATATGAGGCTATTGAAAATACCACAACCTGGGTGAGGCATGACTTAGTCTTCAAAGTAGAACATTTGTTCTTTAATATCTCTTACTGGAGGTCTTTTGCAGTGGATTTGCCCACTGCAATATGTTATTTGACCTCTTGACTGCTGCTTCCATGGGTACTGATTGCAGATCCAAGTAAAATGAAATCTTTGACTTCAATCTTTCCTCCACTTATCATAATGTTGCTTATTAGTCCAGGTGTAGATTGGATGCTAAACTTCTGAGTTATACAAAAAGCAGCATAGACACAGAGACACATGCACCCACAAGGAAAAGATAGATGCCTTAAGAAGATCCTTTATTAGCCAAGGAATGCCAAAGAAGCAAGGAACACCCAAGGCTATTAATAAAAATACAGCTGAGACCCTGCTTTGGACTTTTAGCCTCCAGAACTGTGAGAAAATAAATTTCTAATCTTAAGGTCATACGTCTCTTATGGCAGTACTAGGAATCTAAGACAAGGGATTAGAACTTCAACATATATTTTGGAAGACACAATTCAACTCATAACAATGGTTAAACATGAGATGGACAGGAATATTCAATATAGAATGATCGAGCACTTATTTGTGTCTGGCAAAGGGTATTCTATGTGACCAAAGGAAACACAGTCTCTGCCCTAGTGAACTTACAGTCTAGTGGGGGAGATAGAATATAAATACATAATATATTTATAATTAAAAACTGTACAAATGCTTTGAAGGAAGTAACAGAGCTTTATGAAAGATAACTGAGACAGGAGACTGGTTTAGAACAAGGTATCAGGGAGATCCTAGTTGAGGAAGGGATGACAGGAGGAGGAAAGAGGATCCAGGCCCTAGAAGAACCAGATAGTCCAGAAACCTCAGTCAGCCAGCCAACCAGAGTGATGTATAAAGCACCTTCCATGTGCTGAAGAAAGTGCTGTGGACAAGACAGATTTTTGTACTCATAAAGAGTTGAGTATAGAGTGAGAGAGAAAAAAAAATTAAAAATAAATAAATAAATAATTTCAGGTGCTCACAAGTGGCATGGAGGAGAGAATGTGATGATATTAAAGAGAATGATGTGGGCTGGGAGGCCATAGTGTTAGCCAGGGTAGTTGGGAAAGGCCTTGCTGAAGGGATGATGATTGGGTAACACCTGGTAGTGAAGTAGAGGAAGCTTCACAGTAGTCTGAGGAAAGACCATTTAAAGTAGAAGGGACTGGAAGGAATGGCAAAGTATAATAGTCCTGAGACACAGAAACAGAAATTGTCACAAGTGCAGTGAGTGATGGGGAAGGAAAGAGAAAGGAAGTCCAAGAGATGGACAGTCCAACTGCCCCTCAAGACCAGGACTCTGAGAGTCCAATTATCTCCCCAGGTGTAATGAAGAACCATTGCAAGTTTTAAGCTGGATTGTCATGTGATTTGATTTACATTTAAAAACCATCATGGCTATGCAGTGGAGAATGCATGGTTGGGAGCCTACAGCAAGGCAGAGCTCTGAGTCAGGAGGCTGTTGCTGCCTTCCCTGAGATGAGAAGCAGAAGCCGTTCAATTGCTTCCATCCACTTTATGAGGTTTGTAGAGGTCCCACCACAGTGGAAACACAGGGAGGAGCACACAAAGGCTGAACACATTTGGCAGTCTCCAAGAACTACAAACCAAAAAAAACCAAACTCACTGCCGTCAAGTTGGATCTGACTCATAGAGACCCCTTCTTGTGTTTCTGAGGTGGTGTAGTGCCTAAGACATTTGACTGCTAACTGGAAGTCTGGTGTTTCAAATCCACCAGCCACTCCTCAGAAGGAAGATAGAGCAATCTCTCAATTTCACTGCACTGCCACAAGGTAGTTCCCAGATGTCCTTTCAGAACTAGCTGTGATGGCACAGCTGAGGGTCCTTCCAACCACCTCTAGCTTTCTTCTCCCTGAGCTACACTGTCTTTTGCCAAATGGGTCTCCTAGGCACCACTTGGGTTATAGTCCCTGACCTAGCGTGATTTCCCAGGCAATTCATTTAAGATATCCTAGAGAATTTGAAATCACAGATTCATACTTCCCAGAGGAGTCTTGCACCAGAAAAACTCTGTGTTCTGGAATCATTATGGCCTGCTCCTTGTCTCTCACAGACTGCTTTCCCCAGTTGCTGTTGAGTTTATTCCAATTCATGGCAGTTCCATGTGTCAGAGTGGAACTGCACTCCATAAGGTTTTCAATGGCTGCTTTTGGGAAGTAGATCACCAGGTCTTTCTTCCAAGGTTCCTCTGAATGGAAGGAACCTCCAACCTTTTGGTTAGAGGCCCAGCTCTTAACAGTTTGCATCACCTGAGGCCTCCTCATTTTCTTTACCAAGCCCCTATTTTGAATCCTGCATTGTGGCTCATCTTCCAGCCCCAACTTTGTTCCTTATATATTGCATTTAGACCTTGTAAATTGCTTCTGATTCCCTTTCTAAAGATTTTTCCTGAATTAGACTTTTGACCACCATTTCTCCAATGTAGACTTTGAGCTTGATTATGGTTTCTTCCTTGATCCATTATCAGTATCTGTTTAGATGATATCTTCTCCACTATATTTAAAGCTAGTTAGAGATTGTAAAGTACCCTCTGTGATTGTGGTTAAGAGTGAGACAGCCTGGAATACAGGCTCTCACCTTTACCATGTGTGACCTTGGGCACTTGGTCTCTTTACCTCAGGTTCTTCCTCTGTAAAATATGAATAAGGATAGTGATAGTCCCTCTGGTAGGCCTGTCGGACAGAATAAATGCACATATCATGTATGGTGTTTAACCTAGTGCCATTGCATAGTAAGTGTTCAGTGACTGTTGGCTACTAGAGAGAGTGCACATACAGAGAACTCAATGAGAAATTAAGCTGTGATTATCATCTTTCTTCTGTACAAAAAGTACTATGTTAGCAAAGTACTTTACACAGATAATATTAACAAATGCTTGATGAATAACTGAGATGGGAATAAGCTTGGTGGTCTCAGGAAATAGTAACAGGAATTATTTGGCTATGGAGAAGCACCATATTATGTGGTCATAGGCCCATAGTTTTTTAAAAGGGAACTTGTTTATGGTTGACTTTGGTAATCAGGCAAATAACATACAATGGAGGAGGAAAAGAACATCCATTGCTTTTGGGTGACAGGTGGCATATGGAATCCCCCAAAAGTCTCCCACATTCAATAGTATATTCTAGTTTGTTCCCCCAGTTCTCTAACAAAGAAACAAAACAAGAACCAAGATCTAGAGAATCTATGCCCTCCCACCCATCAGTCCACAATGAAGTGATGCCAACATTGCTTTTAAATATCATCTTTTGTACTTCATACCTTTACTCTCAAGGATATAAGAACTCTAGAAGCCCACTCTTCCAAGAGATCTATGGATCCCTACCATAGTCTACCCAGTGGTTTTCAATCTTGGTTGCACTATACTAAGGCCTTACCCCAGACCAATTAAATAAGAATCACTAGAGGTTGGGCCTAGGTATCTATAAATTTTTCAGTCTTCCCCAAGTGATTTCAATGTGTAATCAGAGTTGAAAATTTTTGTTCTATATGAAGAATCTATTTTACAATTCAATTTTTCTGTGTTTTATTCTTAAGGCTCTTATTATCTCTCTTTTTGTCTTTCAGGTAAGGAGTCTTTCAGGAATTTGATTCACTACCAATCACTGATTACAAAATGGGGAGAAGAGAGAGAAAAACAATTACATATGGGCTTTATTTTTGTCTCTACAATTTTTATTTCTTCCTTGCTCATCAGGTCAAATATTTCATCTTCACTTGACTTTGCCATTGGAAAACTTTGGTCTCAGATTTTCTTTCTTCTTCAAAGAATCTACTTCAAATTTTGCAAGCTAAATTAAAGACATATATTTGATTGGTAGGTCAGAATGGAGATTATTTTCTTTCTCAAGTCTACAGTTCCAACTAACTTAACCCTTGTAGAGTATAATTGTACAAAATAGACAATTACACAAGTTATGGAAATGTGAATAGCCTTTCAAATGCATCTAGGTATTCTATTATTAGGATACAGCCCAAGTATTCTAGGAATTGAACAATTTGTTTTTACAATGTAAATATTAAAAGATTAGAAGCAGAGTGTTTTGAATATTATTTATAACACATGAGGATATGAAACAAATCTCTCAAGGATAGACTCTGAGACAAGCATTCAGGTAGCTTAGATATTCTAATCTCATAATGTCCCCTGTAGGGTAGATATGAGTGGCAGTCAACTCATAGCAGTGGGTTATCTTGTAATCTTACAACATCCTCTGTTTTTTGTTTGGAAGTTCCTGGCTGGTGCAAACGGTTAAGTGCTCTGGTGCTAGTTGGTAGTTTGACTCTACCCAGAGTTGCCTCAGAAGAATGACCTGGTGATCTTCTTAAAAAACATCAGCCATTGAAAACTCTGTGGAGCACAGTTTTACTCTGACATATAGGAGGTAACAATGAGTCAGAACTGACTTAACAAGCTGGTTTGGTT